ACATTGGTCGCTCGACCGGACAACACGGTTTGCAAAAGTACTGAATGGTCTGAATCTAAGCTTGATGGTCACTTGAGCCAATTTTCAAAATAAAAGGCGGTCGCTCGAGCAGTGACTTGGTTGCTCAAGCCAACTGCAAATGTCTGCAAAAATACTAGATGCATGAGATGTGCGCTTGAGCAATAACTTGTTTGCTTGAGTGATCCTCGAATTCTGGACTTTTCATAACACAGTTTGAACTTCAAAACTCATATTCAAAGTATAAAAGTTTGCATAATATGTCCTAAACTTCATTTACACACCCATAAGCATGGATACAAAACCAATTTGCAAATTTTAAGCTAAAAAATTCATGAATTCCTCATGCATCTCTCAATTGATTTCAAATTCTTTTCCAAGACTTCAAAAATAGGAAATTGAGTTTCAATACAACATAATTCGTGGATGCATGTACAATTCAACTTCTAAATTTAACATGGATGATAAAATCATGCTGAAGAACAGTGAAACTCAACAAAACCATGCATGCATATGTGAACTAGCTCCACATTCATCATTATTCGCTCATTTATTGTATTTAATCATATATCTTCTTGAATTCACATATTAAATGATTTAAACTCATGAATTAGGGTTCAAACACTTACCTAAGGTCTTCAATAACACTAATTCTAGCAAGAACTTCAGTTGTCTTCTTCAATTCCCCAATCTTCAAACAAAATTCTCCAATTTCTAGCCCCTCTCTCTAGACTTGAGCTCCCTCTCTCTCTAACACTTACAAACTCAGCCAAATGAAATGTTTTTGCTCAAATTCTTGATTACAACATATGCTAGATTAGCTTAGACTAATTAAGCAAGCTTAGCATTAATTAATCTAGGTTAAATCTAATTAGTCATACTCAATTCTATTAATTAATTCTAATTAATTTAGTCTAAATCAAATTTTAATCGAACTTCCCATTAGACTCTAAAAATTATGTCATTCACAATAGACTAATCAATTTCGGTTTCTAACGCCATTAAGGCCTTCAATTTCAAATTATAACAGAATTCACAACAGATATTCCTACAGCTAACAGATATGAATCCAAAAATCATATCAATCACATAATTAGCATTCAAATTCACACTAAACACATAAGCACATTCAAAACTAAAGGATTAAAAGTATAATACATGGCGGGATTGTAACAGTAGCACCCAATGCAAGCCCATTCATGTCCAGCATTGAAGCCCGCCAACAATACTAAGAGAGATTCCAACTCAATTACAAAAGCTAATACAGTCAAACAATTAATACCCCTCTTAAACAAACTCTAATTTGCTTAACATTAAACAAAATATCATGAATAGAATACTGACGATCCTTTGACAAAGCTTTCAACCAAATAGCTAATCTGGTTATGATGAGGTCTCTCAGCTTTGCCCAAATCAGGTTGTGTTCCATTGAAGACACACTCGTGCTTGTGCTTCCAAATACACCAAAAAGTTGCTGGGGGAATGGCATTCCAGATCATATTTCCAGCTTTCTTCAATCGATTTCCAGCCACTAATGGAGCACACCTTTAATTGTTCCAAGCATAGCCCACTGTGTTCCCCACCAGTTCAATAAATCAGTCCAAACCTTCCATACTTTGGGGTAAAAAAACAGCACATGGTTGATTGTCTCATTCTCAGATTTGCAAAAAATGCAAGATAGAAGCATTGCCATCAAGAACTCCAATCCTTTGCAGAAATACAGAAGTTTTGACCATACATTTCCAAGCAAGCCACCCAAAAAACTAAACTTTGGGTGGGAGAGAGTTATTCCACACCAATCTAAAAGTTCTGATATGACCAAAAGCTAAGTCACTGTGCTGGTATAAAATTGAGACCATAGATGGCCTGGTTGGGATGCAACCCACATAGGCTTGTCCTTTTCAGTCAATCTGAGTGTAGGGGCTGCTCTTAGGGTCATAACTCTTAGATCAAACTTTTTTATCTAAGGAGACACCATGAAGAGTAGGTTTAAGTGGGTGAAGTAGGTGGAGAGTAGGTGGATTTTAACATAACTCTTAGATCAAACTTTTTTATCTAAGGAGACACCATGAAGAGTTGCACCATTCCATTCAAATAATCCCAATTACTTCTAAAATTTTCCAACAAAACATGGGCAATCTGTTCTCGAGTGCACCATTAGGAAAAGTATAGAAAGAACAAGTTAAAGAGTTGATACATAGAAAGGCATGCTTGGATAGAGCCCACCTTTCTAACTGAATTCAAGAAGGAAAAAAAAAAATTTTAAATTTAAAAAAAAAAAAAGGGTGCTACTGAAGATTATCAATTAATGGAGTCACCGAAATAACAATTTTCACATATTTCTTTCTTTCAAACATCATTTCAACAAGCATCTAGAAAATGCAAATAAGAATTTTTTTTTTTTTTTTTTTTTTTTAAACATAATTTCTATGTTTTTGTAGCATTATTATATTTTAGCCATATTGCCGTAGATGGTATTAGCTGCTTAAACCCTCTGCTGCAACAATTCTAGCTAACAAAAATCTGCAACTGATATATAAAAGGGCAATTTTTTCAATATATACCACCAAAGCGACATATTGTTTTGCTGTAAATTTGCTGGTAATATATACTCACGGTTTGGGGCACTACACAGTAATCCTGTTTGTTTTTAGTACTTTCATCTTGTGAATTCTTTCTTATTTATTTTCGAAGTTATATAACAAAAGGCTATATTGAAATTGATAATTTATGTCTTATCTATTGGCCAGACATGTCAGAGATATGAATGTTGTTCTCTATGCCAAATCGTCCATCCTCTTCTCCTGCTAGACTTTTTCTCTTAATGTTGTGTTTGGTTGGGGAATTTGAGGAAGGATTTAGAAAAGGAAATGGAAAAGGTAGGTAAAATGTGAATAAAACATATCTATATTTCACCTAGTTTCACACACCTTTTCCCTTTCCTTTTCGAATCTCTCCTTAAATCCTCCAACCAAACACAACGTCAAAGAATTGTGTATCGCTGTTTACATGCTTGTAATAAAACCTTACCATCAGAGGCTTCCTGTTTTCTCAATTTTTGATTTTCGTTTCCATTTGTTGGGACTGTATTTTCTATAGACAACCCCTTCAGAGTCTTGTCGGGTCCAACTTGAGAGGATTGGTGGGCACAAATACCATCCTCAAGGAAAATGATGCAGTAACACACCTTCAAGCATCACCATCATCTTCTTCTTCTTATCACATATTTCTGCACAAACATTATTAAATGCCATGGTGGTTCTAGGTGTCCCTGTCGCTCCAGGTGCCAAGGCTCATGGCATGGCAAGCCCCAGTCCTTCAAACTGGAGGTCTTGGAGAAACATGTCTTGGAGCATCTTATCTTTACTTTAAATGAAGTTGTAAAAAATTGTTTGTCGGTGGTGAAAAGTAGTTCTAGAGTACTATAATTTATGTTATTGTACTATGGTATGCATTAATATCGTACTCTGACTGGCATGTTGTTCACATGTACCTCCTTCGTGTTTGTCTATTTTAATGTAGGCTTCTCATTGATCACTACATCACAACTTTAGACGAACTTCTAATTTGGAATTAGGCTCTTTGTTTGCAATTGTTGACTTGAGTTATTGTGGCTTTTGTTTCATAAAAGTTCAATCACAGTGAAATTTATGCTAAATACCTTGTGTTCCACAAGAAATTGTTTAGTGTGTATTGTGTGAACGGAAACATGAAATTGTAAGGTTGTGTTTAAATCATGAATTTAAGTAGGAATTTGAAAAGGGAAATAAAAAAGATGGGTGGAATGTGAACGAAATATAATTATATTTCACCCACCTTTGTTAAATCCTCGACACAAATATATTTCAATTTACTATAAATTGGTGACCACTATTAGATCGCCGGCTGGAGAAACAAATAACTTTTCAATTATTGTGAGATTATACCAAGGATTAACCTTTAAGTCCTTATTTTTTTTGCTAGGCTATTTTAGTAACTTTTTGACTTTTTACGAAAAGATGTGCAGAAAAGTAGAGAGGTGATGTGACAACTTTTAGTAACTTTTTGACTCTTTGGCTAAAATAGCCACTCCCCAAACGAGGCCTTAGTTATGGATGAGTTGACGAAAAATATTCAGGATGATATGTCATAGTGTATGCTTTTTACAGATGATATAGTGTTAGTGGATGAGATTAGAGAAGGAGTTAACACTAATTTGAAGACTTAGAGAGAAGTAGTTGAATTTAAAGGATTTAGGATAAGCAGAACTAAGACAGAGTACATGGAGTATAATTATAATAAAAATAACAATGGAAGCAGAGGAGAAGCGAAAATTGAGAACCAAGAACTATCTAAGAATGAAAATTTCATTATTTAGGATCGATTATCACAATGGCTGGAAAGATTGGAGCGGATGTGGTCCGCAAAATTAAGGCGGGATAGCTTAAGTGGAGGAGTGTTTCTGGAGCACTGTGCAATAAACGAGTACTCACTAAACTAAAAAGAAAGTTCTATAGAACGGCTATTAGACCAATAATGTTGTATGAGATGAAATGTTGGACAACTAAGAAACAAAATGTAGATAAGATGATTGTTGCTAAAATGAGAATGCTAAAATAGATGTACGGCAAGACTAGAAAAAATAGAGTTAAAATGAGCATATTCATGAATGAATAGGAGTAATACCGATAAAAAATAAGTTGAGAAATAATAGATTGAGATGGTTTGATTATATACAACGAAGACCAACAAAGATAATGGTGAAGAGATGCGATACAGTGATGGTAGATGAAAGTGTTAGGGGAAGGGGCAAATTTAGATTGACGTAGACTAATGTAACAAATAGATATATGAATCTCTTTGATTTGACTAATCAAATAGCCATTGATAGAGTCGAATAGAGAAAAATGATTCATATAGCCAAACTCATCGAACCTGTGAAAGCACTTGGTGCGACTTTACACTTGGTATATGCGAATATAACAAGATCAAACACTCATAAATTGATAGAAACTCAAAAACTTGAAAAAGAAATTCTTAAATTAGTTGTTGGAAAGCCAACAAGAGAGTTTAAGACAATGCTAAAACTACAACATACAATTCCATTAGTGACAGAAGTGCATATTCAACTTGCTGAATAAATGAGACTACCTCAGTAATTGATTATAGAGAAATGTACAGAATAATACCATACAAGAGGAAGCACAGAAGCTACAACGTAGCCTCGCAATCAGCTTTGTTATCCCCTGCTTCCTCGCAGTTAGTGCAAAAATCTACCCTTGTCGTTGGTTCCAGAACATTGGCCTCTTTAGCCTCACAAGAATCTTTATTATGCCCTGCTTCCTTGCTGTTGGTGCATGAATCTACCATTGTCGTCGGTTCCAGAACATTGGCCTCTTTAGCCTCACAAGAATCTTTATTACGCCCTGCTTCCTTGCTGTTCGTGCATGAATCTACCATTGTCATCGGTTCCAGAACATTGGCCTCTTTAGCCTCACAAGAATCTTTATTATGCCCTGCTTCCTTGCTGTTCGTGCATGAATCTACCATTGTCGTCAGTTCCAGAACATTGGCCTCTTTAGCCTCACAAGAATCTTTATTATGCCCTGCTTCCCTGCTGTTCGTGCATGAATCTACCATTGTCGTCGGTTCCAGAACATTGGCCTCTTTAGCCTCACAAGAATCTTTATTATGCCCTGCTTCCTTGCTTTTCGTGCATGAATCTACCGTTGTCGTCGGTTCCAGAACATTGGCCTCTTTAGCCTCCCAAGAATCTTTATTATGCCCTGCTTCCTTGCTGTTCGTGCATGAATCTACCGTTGTCGTCGGTTCTAGAACATTGGCCTCTTTAGCCTCACAAGAATCTTTATTATGCCCTGCTTCCTTGCTGTTGGTGCATGAATCTACCCTTGTAGTTTGTTCTGGCATGTTGGCCTCTTTTGCCTTTGGTTGACTTCGTGATCGGGAGGAGGGACAAGGAGGAAGCACATGCACGATGTCCGAGGCAGTCTCTTCCTCCGCAGGCTCGACAACAGCAGCCACAGGGCTTATGGACTCAGAATATGTTAAATGGAAGCTATCTACGGTGAAGTACTTTGAACAATAATCATACAAGCTCCTGCACGTGTGATTGAGAACAGCAATAGTGTGGCGGCAAGGTAGCCCTGTAGTTTGCCACCCCAGGCAAGTGCACTCCCATTTATTAAGATTTACAACGTGATTGGCATCATTGTGAACTTCAAATAGGGCATCAGATGACATTAACACCTTAAGGCCGCGTGCGTCAACAATTTCTTCATGTAGCTTTTCCTTTTTTGATGGAGTAAGTTTCATAGGCCACATACTTGAATCCATTCGACGTGTATTTATCAACTCTGTAATCATACGTATTAGCGCTTCTATCTTCTGTGTTATAGGTGATTCCCGCACTTCCTCCATCGACTTAATGTACAACTCTGCAACATTTTGTGTAATTTGGTTATGACGCTCACCCTTAAATGATGTGCTTGTCCAATATTCTGGCTCAATTTGCATGACCCAATTGTAAGCATCAGAAGAGACCAGCTTAATTTGCTCGGTATACTTTTTGAAACCAAGAAGACGGACTGCGTGGGCAGCAGCTACAAAATTGCCAGGTAAGGAACCTTTCCCATCCCCATGGAAAGGACCCTTTAAGCTTTTTTTGAAGCTTTCCAAAAGGTGGTACATGGAGTAACCAAGACAAGCATTCTCGAATACTTTAAAAACTAACTCCTTTAACCCCTTCTCCCTATCAGAAACAAAAGTTACAGATCCTGAAACTGGCAATGCTGATTTCAAATGTTCCAAAAACCAGTGCCAATTATCATCATTCTCAACATCAACTATAGCAAAAGCAACTGGAAAGAAACCATCATCCGCATCCAGTGCGGTTGCTGTCAGTAGAACCTCATGACACTTAGATTTTAGGGATGTAGATTCGAGGAAAAGAAGGGGACGGCAACCTTCTTGGAAACCATGTATCGAGGCATGAAAGGATAAGAAAAAGCATTGAAATCTTTTGTCATCACCAATTGCGAGCTTAACAAAGCTACCCGGATTTGTCTCCATGATCTTCTCACAGTACCAAGATAACTGATTATATGCCTCCTTATATGAGCCCTGAAGTTGTTCCCTAGCATCAACAATTCCACGCCGTACATGTGTATAGTTCAATTCAATACCAAAGTCCCGTAAAATGCCATTAGCAATGTCCTTGGGTTTCTGATATGGGAAATCTCGTAACTTGTCCTTGATTATATTCACCAACCAATTCTTTGTTGGATGAGCGGACTTCCAAGATTCCCCTGCACATGTGTGTGAATTATTGAACTTTTTAATCCTAAATGACGCAGCAGCCGGGACCCAAGATGCATGAATCCTCCAAGAACAACCTTCAACTACACATACCCCACTTGCATGATTACTGTCATTATTCTTTAACCTGTACACAAAGCAATGTGCAATGGAATATTTCTGCAATGCATCGCGAAACTCATACACATTTTTGAAATCCTGATCAATACCAGTAATACCATCTTTCCAAGATGCAATTAGTTCTTCCAGAGAGACATCGTCAGAGTTGGGAAGAAGAGGAGTACCAAAATCATCTTCTCCAGCTACTTCTTCCCCTTCTTGCCTCATGTCATCATCAGCCACCAAACTTCGACTATTCTTTTTTCGTGGTCTTTTGTCCCCAGCATCATCATCATCAGGGACAGCAACAATGGTCGAGCCATTGACTCCAACTTTCCAGGAGGCAATACGTCTTCGTTTCTTAACGGTATCTGCGGGGGTAGTACCCATATCTACTTCAATTAAGTTGTGATCGTTTGACTTAGCAGCAACATTAGCAGGAGAGTACAGAGGAGCACTGGAATTATCACTATCATCATGAGGAGTATTTGAGGTTGTAGTTGCTTTAGTGGGCCTCCTCCTTTCAGTTGCATCAACACCTGTTACTGAGTCAGTAAAAGCAGGAGTAGCCTTCTTTCGTGCTTTAGTCCTCCTAGTGGCAACGCAAGCAGCAGAAGTACCCACAGGACCAGAAGCATCAACTGGTGATGTAGTCACAGCAGCTTTGGGTGCAACAACACAGTTCACAGACTCGGCTACTTTTATGCCAGTCTCCCTGCAAGTATTACTAAGATAATTTCATGCAGGCATGTAAAAAAGATTTGATTAGCAGCAAAATGCCAATCATAAGGGACTACATAATAGCAAACAGGGCTGGCAACATGATTGTTAGAATCTTGCAATTCATGATTCGATTCATATGATTCAATTTGTACTGTTGAATCTTAAATTATGTGAATCTTATGATTCAATTGTGATTTAGTAGAATTCATTAAGCTTCACTATTCACTTTTGTTTGCATAATACATAAAACGTCATCTTCGCAATAATAAAAAAAGAGACCAATTAATTAAATTAATATGTGATTTTATGTGTATACATATAGAAAATTTCATTATATTGATAATAATTTCATTTTAAATACTATATCTGTATTTTTATATGTATATACATAAATAAAATTATATATTATAGTACACAAAGTGAATTTTACGATTCACAATTAACTATTTTACCAAAACGATTCACGATTCAATTCCTGATTTGACAACAATTGTTGGCAGTATCATTTCAACAAAAAAAATGAGGATCATTTTAGGGATTCTTTGACAAAAGTGTTTCTCCAGGCTGTGCGTGACTGGCAACAGGCTGTCAACTATAATTGTAGTAACCTTTTTTTTTTTGATAAATAATAATTGTAGTAACCATTTTATAATATAAAATAAATAAGAAATGGAAACAAGGATAAATAGAGCTGTTATCATAGAAACAATCTGCACCTAAGACAGATACCTGTTGGTGAATATGTTCAAGGTATCACCGTTAAAACCTTCTGTTCCCATAACAAAAACATCTGCTATTACTGAATCCCCATGGAAGTCAAGCATCCTTTTTAGGTCTTTGTCATTTGACAAAGTGATGAGTGTCCGAGTGTTTCCGGGAAGGAAGTACTTGATGGAAACGGTTTTATATTCCAAATTACACATTTCAGCTAATTTTAACTTGAGAGCATCAAACAGCGTTTCACAATTAACATTTACTGCCTGTGCCTCCCCTCCAGCATATTTCAAGGATCCATCATCGTCCTTCAAAAACTCACCACCAGATTGGCAAATTAATATAAGCTTCCCCTTTGCCATCCCAAAATATTGTCAGAAGTTCCTATAAGCAATCAAAAAACAAATAAATCTATATTTTCTGTCTTCATACATTTAAAGCATGTTCACAAATGCAAGTTTTAAAAATTACGGTTGTTAAAAGGTGCGCTTATCATGGTGGAGCTTGCAGAACACCAAATGAAAGTTAAGTTGGCTTGTTATGTATTACACAAGTTGGCTGTAAATTAATTATAAATAATAATATTCTCTCCAGAATAAAACAAAGATCAGTTCATGCTTAAAACCAAATATCAGGAAAGGAGAAATAAATTCATCCAGATGCCATTAAAGAAAGCAGAATGGATCCATTTCCAAATCTTTTGCAAACAAAGGAGTTAATAGAATTCCATGAGCCATCAAAATGTGCAATAACTGTTCGCCTTTATAAATTAATTTAGGCATTGGACAGATGGAAACTACAGACATGCAAATGACTGTGTATCCACTTTAAACAAGTGGAATGCCCTGCAAATGACAAACATACACCCATTGGACCTTAGTTCTTCTATTGATGCAATCTAAGTCCAACAACAGAAAGTTAAGCTTGACTCAACCAAACCCCGACATTTGACTGACGGAAATTACAGCTATGCAATTGACCATTTATCTACTTTATACACATGCGTAATGTCCTCCAAATTATTAACATATACCTCTTAGATAGGTGGTTACAGTTAAATCCAAGTCCAACAACATAAAATTCAGCTCAGCTGAACCAACCCGAGCAACCAAAGATAAAAGAGAAGGTTGGAGGTAGTCTTCAAATGAATGAAACGGAATCCTGATGCAATGTGCAGGCTTTAACAGGTGATAACACAGGGAAAGGTTGATAGAATTTGAGCAATCTCTGGCAGGGGCAGAGCTAAAAGTCTCAAATTTTTCTTTTTTATATATAGGTGATGTTGATATCTTTGTGTATTCTTAAACTGGCGCCCCAAAATTTTTTCTGTGTATTCTTAAACTGAAATTATTAAAAAAACTTGAAATACCCAGCAGATTTCACAAAGCCACTCTTAATATTAAAATTTTAATTTTTTTTATTGAATGTTTGCTTTTTGGAACTCAAACTTTACCCTTTTTGACTACTATAACCCCACCACCATCATATTATTACACAAAACCATATGTAACTTTCACATCATTTTGATTAAATTTTGTAAAACAAATGTCAATTCCTAAGCCCATGTCAAAGATACAATATGTATCTACTTCATAGGATTTGTCTATGTTTTAAAAAAATGATTTTGGGGTATCATACCTAAAAATCACTTCTAACCGTCAGATTTATATAAAGAAAAATCTCAACCCTTGATTGGTAAAGATTAAAACCAGATTCAAAAAACAAGATGGTTTATCCAGAAAACAAAGTCGTTTTTGTAATTTTTACTTGCCATTGGATTTGACCCAACTACCACACATTGCCTCTAAAACTGAACCTGTATACCACTAAAATTAATCCTACTTACCACTAAAATGAACTTTACTTACACACAATATATGACCATGCCCAAAACACTAGTTTTGTAACCATAGTTTGACTCCCTACTTTATGCACCCAAGATATTCACTTCTTCCATACTGATGCAGAGTATGAGAAGTTCAAGGAAGACTAAATTTAAATCTTCTATAATTATGTTTCTAGTACTATCAGAGTCTTATTTTATAATCATATTTATGTTTTCTAGGATTTTAAGCTTAGAAGTATTTTGGTAATTTGCAGAATTTCTGAATATAGGTTGTTTGGGCCGCCCATGGGTTATCTTATGGGTCAAGTTATTTAATTAGTTTTTATTTATGTTTCTTATTTGGTCTTAAGATATTACAGTAAACCAAACCAAACCAAGCCTTAAATCCCATTAAATGAGGTTAGTTATATAAATCCTTCTTTTCCACTCGACTCTATCAAAGGCTAGAGTCTAAGATATTATAGTAGTTTCCTTTTTTGGTTCTAGTTGGTTTAGGAAGTCTCTAAACTCTATATAAAACTATGCTACTAGAAACGCTAATATCCAGCGAATTACGTATTGGTATACACATTTCGAAACATGGTACACTTTTGTTCCAAAACAGTAAATTTAGTAATTTAAAGCGATCCCAAAAGTTTTTTTTCAATATATGTCCTTAAATATTACCTTAGGAGGAAAAAAAAAAATCAAATATAATGAACTAAAATCTAAGGTGAATTAATTTTGACAAGACAAAAAAAACAAAAAATTGGTCATAATGCTCATAGAAAATATTACATTTTATTGTATGCGTAATTATTTTTTTAAAAACAATTACTCTAGAAGTACCTTAAATTATTAAGTATAATAATATATACAAATCTACCCCTATCGTATCACATTTTAAAGCATGTGGCGTGCCACATTCCCGTTCCAATTCCCGTTCCACATACCAAAATGATCCACATTTCAGGTAACATAGATAGAAAGTCATGTAATGCTTTGAATTCAATAGAGTTAACATTTTAAAAACTTTTGAGAGTTTTGAAACCTCTTTTGGGTTTGTGTGATGCGACCCTATGTTAATTTTAGAAGAGGAAAAGTTAGGGTATGAGTGGTTTATCATACCCTTTTATATTAAATCATAAACATAAGTTAAGGCCTAAATAAAGGCCCATTACAGCAAATAAAGATTGAATGAGAATAAAATAGGAAATATCCTAACACATTCTAACACTCTCCCTCAAGCTGGTGCGAAAATATCTCTCATGCCCAGCTTTTCGAGAATGTCACGGAATGGTTTAATCCCTCATCCTTTGATAAGAACATCAGCCAATTGATCCCCAGACCGCACGAAAGGCGTACATATAGTGCCACTAGTAAGCTTTTTCTTGATAAAATGCCGATCAATCTCCACATGCTTGGTCCGATCATGCTGAACCGGATTGTGGGCTATATTAATGGCAGCCTTATTGTCACATATAGCCTCATAGAATTTGTCTGATGAATCCCCAAATCCCGCAATAATAATCTAATCCATAAAAGCTCACACACACTTTGAGCCATTGCTCTGAATTCGGCCTCTGCACTAGACCGTGCAACAACATTTTGTTTCTTGCTTCTCCAAGTAACTAGATTTCCGCCAACGAAGGTACAATAGCCAGAAGTGGATCTTCTATCAGTTACTGAGCCAACCCAATCAGCATCTGTATATGCCTCCACTAAGATGATCATGCTTTAAGAAATAAAGACCCTTTCTCGGAGAAGATTTCAAGTATCTAAGAATCCGCATAACCGCCTCTAAGTGAGTTGCACGTGGAGCATGCATAAACTGACTAACCATACTCACTGCAATAGCAATATCAAGCCACGAATGGGATAAGTAAATAAGCTTACCCACTAGTCTCTGATATCTCCCCCTGTCTACAGGCTCGCCTCCTTGATCCTCACTAAGCTTTAGTCCGGGCTCTAGTGGTGTATCACATACTTTACTTCGAAGTATTTCCGTTTCTTTTAGCAAATCAAGCACATACTTTCGTTGACATATGAAGATACCATCTTTGGACCGAGCAACCTCAATGCCTAGAAAGTATTTCAAGTTGCCTAAGTCTTTGATTTCAAACTCATTAGCCAAATACTCCTTTAACCGAGGAACCTCCTGAACATCATCCCCTGTGAGTACAATATCATCCACATAGACAATGAGGGCTGTCGTTTTACCATGTGATGAGTGTTTCACAAACAAAGTATGATCAGCTTGACTCTGTTTGAAACCATATCTCAGCATGGCCTAAGTAAACCTCTCAAACCAAGCCCTAGGAAACTGCTTAAGGCCATAAAGTGACTTGCGTAACCGGCACACCTTTCCTGTGGTTTTAACATCCTTAAAGCCAGAGGGAATGTCCATGTACACTTCTTCTACCAAATCTCCATGGAGGAAAGCATTTTTCACATCAAATTGATGGAGAGGCCAGTCAAGATTAGAGGCAAGGGAGAGAAGAACTCTGACAGAATTCATCTTAGCAACCGGTGCAAATGTCTCCTGGCAGTCTACTCCATAAGTTTGAGTAAAACCCTTGGCCACCAATCTAGCCTTGTAACGTTCAATTGAACCATGGGCTTTGTGCTTTACAGTGTACACCCACTTACATCCAACAGGTCGTTTGCCCTTAGATAACGCAACCAATTCCCAAGTGCCATTTTTAGCAAGCGCTCTCAGCTCCTCCATCATGGCATGCTTCCACTCAAGAGTAGAAAGTGCATCCTGAAAATTGGAAAGAAGACTCACAGAAGAAACTTTAGACAAAAAAACTTTATAAGAAGAAGACAGATTAGTGTAGGAGACAAAATGAGAAATAGGGTGTTGAGTACATGACCTAACCCCCTTCCTTTAAGCAATGGGAACATCTAGATCAGAAAGAATTGAGTTACCTGGAGGTTCACCAGAAGGAAAGGATTTTGGACACTCATCAGAAGAAGAAGATAGCAGTGGAGAATCTGAATTGGTCTCTTGTACCCAAGTAACTTTCTGTCTACCCTTGTCCCTGACATACACTTTGTCGTCTTTCACAGCAGATGGAAAGTCAGCATTCTCAGATGGATCATCAGTAATAATAGTCTCAGGAGTCGCAATAACTGATGGTGATGGCAGTGAGACAGGAATCTCTTCACACCAAGACCCCCCTGAAAAGATGACGGGGACACCAGGGAGGAGAGAAAGTAGGACTGAGATTCAAAGAAAGACACATCCATTGAGACAAACCATTTGCGAGAGGGGGGATAATAACACTTGTAGCCCTTTTGAGTGACGGAGTAACCCAGGAAGACAGACCTAAGAGACTGAGGATCCAACTTACTACGGGGTAAGAGAATGGTTATGAACAAAGCACACACACACCCAAAGGTTTTGGGAGGAATGGAGAAGGCAGCAGAAACTTGGAAGCCGAACAAAACCTGAAGAGGAGTTTGTTTATGAAGAACTTGAGTAGGAAGCCGATTGATGAGGAAGGCAGCCGTGAGAACCGCTTCCCCCCAATAGGATCGAGGAATGCGCATGTCAAAGGATAAACAACGCGCAATATCAAGAAGATGCCGGTTTTTACGCTCGGCAACACCATTCTGTTGAGGGGTATTTGTACAAGAAGTTTGATGAATAATACCATGAGTGGCAAAATAGCTGGCAAGTCCAGAATCAATATATTCCCCCCCATTATCAGAACACAGAATTTTGACAACTGCCCTAAATTGAGTGCAAACCATTTTATGAAAATTTTGAAACACAGAAAACACCTCACATTTGTCCTTCATAAGATACACCTAGGTGGTCCTAGAACAATCATCAATAAAGGTGACAAACCATCTTTGACCCTTTAAAGACACAAAATGAGAGGAACCCCATACATCATAATGAATCAAAGAAAAAGAAACTAAACTTTTATTAATAGAAGGAGCAAAAGAAGTTGTGTGTTGTTTGCCAAGTTGACATGACTCACAATGAAACTCAGAAACATTATTTTTCAAAAAAACAGAAGGAAAAAGATGCTTAAATAACAAAAAGGATGGATGCCCAAGACGGCAGTGCCACAGCCAAATGTCTTCCTTGGTAGATGGAAACTGAATGGATGAGTGAGCCAGCTTGTCTACTTGATCCAAGATATAGAGACCATTCTTCTGTCTACCACTGCCAATCATCTTCCTCGTGATAAGGTCCTGAAACAGACAATAATCAGGGAAAAAGGTCACACTATAATTTAAGTCCCAAGTAATATGACTCAAAGACAAAAGATTAATACTAAAATTGGGAACATGTAGGACAGAAGATAAAGGAAGAGAAGCAGTGGCATGAGTTAAACCTTTCCCAGACATAGAAGAAATGGTACCATCAGAAATTCGAACTTTATCCTGCCCTGAAGAAGGGGTATACGCGGAGAACAAATCAGAAGAACCAGACATGTGGTCAGAAGCACCAGAATCGATAATCCAAGGTAGCATTTGATGAGAGAGGAAAGCACTTGTAGAAGAAGCTAAGTTACCTGACTGGGCAATATTACCTGAAGATGAACTGGAGGCCCAACGGTCTAGCAAGTGGCGAAGAGCAACCTCCAACTCAGAAGTAGAAAACCCCGAGATATCAGCAGATGAATCAACTGGAGCTGTGGATTGTGGCTCAACTGCATCAGAATGATGGGCTCGGGCATTGGGCCCACGGCCTCGAGACTGCCCGAAGCGACCCCCTTAAGAACCAGAACGGTCTCCACGACCTCCAGATGGTTGCCCATGCAACTTCCAACAAGTCTCACGGGTGTGGTGCAGGCGACGACAAAAATCACAGAAGAGAGTATCCTTCTCAGAAGGAGGACGAGAACCACGATCCCCATCTCGAGAGGGGGCAGAAAGTAGGACAGATTGATCAGAAGAGGCAACTGAAAGCATAGTAGAACGACGACTCTCCTCATTCTGCACATAAGCAAACGCTTCTTGGAGAGAAGGAAGAGCATCCATACCAAGCACACGACTCTGAACAGGATCAAACTCCACATTCAAACCTTCCAAAAACTTGAAGACCCGCACTTGTTCAACAAATTTCCGGTAACCAACAGAATCTGTGGGACAAACAGGCTTGTAGTCTTGAAGATGATCAAGTCGTTTCCACTCATTGCTAAGGAAAGTAAAATACTAGAGAATAGTTATCTCATCCTGAACGGACCGGTCAATAGAGTGTCGCAACTCAAAAGTCTGTGAGAAATTACCTTTGCGGGAATACGTAGTGGCCACAGCCTCCCAAATATCCTGTGTTATGTCCATAGACAAGTATCCCTTACCGATCTCCGGAACCATAGAGTGTATCAACCAACCATGACAAGAGAATTGGTAATCTCCCACTGATCATAACCTGTATCGGTGATACTGGGAGCCTGAACACGCCCATCAACATATCCCATCTTCCCTTTGCTCTTAAAAAATATAGTCAAACTCTGCAACCATGCAAGATAGTTCTGACCATTAAAGAGAGAGGTGGTGATTTTCTAGCCAGGGTAGAGAGAATCAGTCATCGAAGTAGTCAAAACAAGACTCGCGCCCTGTGTAGCAGGTTGCGAAGTAGTTGACTCACTAGTCAATTCGGCCATAAAGACGTCGTGACGGAACCCTCACAAACACACCTAGAGTGAATCACAAACCTGAAAGATGGGAGAATATAATAATGAATTTAAAATAAATTTAAGAGAATATTATTATTTTATTTTATTTTATTTTATTTTTTTTGTCCCCTTTTTTTTTTTTTTTTTTTTTAGAAGACCGTCAGAGAGAGATTAAGAAAAGGAGAATACAGACTTACATATTACGAAGGGGAGAATACAGACTCGGAGAGACTTACATATTACGAAGACACAGAGAGAGATGAAGACGAAAGAGTTACGTGTAGAGACCGAGAGAGAGATGTCGACGAAGACGAAGACAGACCACAGGGCTCCAAGACAGCCGACGAGCCCTAGGGGTTGCGCCTATGCCTTCGACTGGAGTCGTGACTCCGACTGGGGCTGTCGGAACCCTAGGTGCCTTCGCCTAGGGCTTGCGGGCTGAGGTGGTGGTGCTGTGGCTTTGCCTGGGGTGGTACGGCTAGGAGTTTTTTTTTTTTTTTTTTTTTCCTTTTTCTTCTTCTAGTTCTGCTTTGATACCATGTTAATTTTAGAAGAGGAAAAGTTAGGGTATGAGTGGTTTATCATACCCTTTTATATTAAATCATAAACATAAGTTAAGACCTAAATAAAGGCCCATTACAGCAAATAAAGACTGAATGAGAGTAAAATAAGAAATATCCTAACACATTCTAACACCCTAACCCTAGGTGTTATGCCTATGGAATCTAAATGAGATGCCTAGACCTATCTTCTTCTCTTCTTTCTTCTTCTTTTTTTGTTTCAATTTACCATTCTCGGATTACTATTCATAGCCCTCTAAAAGTGCACTTTTCAACCTCAAAACTCTATCCAATCACTCCAAATCAACCCTAATCGCTTCCCTCACCTATTAGTTTTCAATTTAACCCTTGAAATCCTAAATTACTCGCTGTTTAGGCCATCAAATAACTTTTATTCTCAAAATCCCACACTATCCCTACTTGTTTTAAATCAGTTTGGTATTAGAACGTAAGGTTCCACCATGATGTTTTCACATTATAGGAGATCCTATACAAGTAGATTGACTTGGGAAGAGGGTAAAGTGCATCTTGGAGAGAAAATTCGTCTAAGGGATCTTCAAGATGATTTTCTTGATCAATTGCATACGCTTGAGCAAAGTGATATGCGTGTGATTGATTATGTAAGAAAATACAAGGAATTATTTATCAAATCTAGAGTAGGTTGGGATCTGGAATTAAAGAAGAGATGTCTCATGAATATTTCGAAGATCTTGAAAATACTATAAAACATCTATGCAATTTGAGTATTTTGTAAAATTTACGGAGAAATCTATAGTTTTGAAGCCTACTACAAAGGTAGGATTGCTGCAACAACCACAAAATTGTGTGAGACACGCATCACAAGTAGTACCAAAACCAAATATTGTTGTCAAAGATGCGCAACTGAAGTCAAATGTGAAAGAAAACAATCAGATTTTGCCCAAAACAAAAGAAAACCATATTATAAAGCATAAAAAGGCTCCCATTCCTGAGATAAAAGTGCTACAAGTGAATTCTCAAATTGTTCAAGAAGAGGCAAGATCTCAAATTGAAGATTTGGATACCATACAAGCAGTCTAGGCTGAAAAATTAAAGCAAGAAAATACTGATTCTGAGCAAAATATGCCTTTACAGGGCACTAATTTGTTACCGAAATTTTCTGATGTGGTGCCAACAAGCTCATCTAATGAGTCTCTACCCATGACAAGCGTCTGCATATACCAAAGTCACAAGAGGACTGCAAAATTGAATTGCATGATGACATTTCGGTTGAGGTAAAGGTTGAGAATATTGAATCCCTGGTTATTGATGCAAGCAATAGCATTCAAATTTGTTGTAAGCAACATATTGCAAAGCCAAAAGAGAATGACATGGATAACGGGGCAATTCGACACTTAGATCAATTCAAGGGTTCACCTTCTACTTCAGTTGATTTTGTTACTCCAAAAAAATTTAACTTTACAGTTGAAAATATCATATTGCTTCCATTGCTACCTCCAATGAAACGATTGCCAACTTGAAGATTTTAATGTGAAGGCATGGATGCAATTTCAAAACTTGTGGATTCTTATACTTCAACACTTCAAAACTCGAGGTTTTTTTCTAACCAAAGGAGAATGACGTAGAGTATAAAAAGCCCAAAGATGGCTAAATTTAAAGAAGCAATGACATTTGGACATTGGCATGATTTCATAGAAAAACTGACAGAAATCTTCTATTATTATGTTTCTAGTACTATTAAAGTCTTATTTTATAATTATATCTATGTTTCTTAGGATTTTAAGCTTAGGGGTATTTTGGTAATTTGCAGAATTTCTGAATATGGGTTGTCTGGGTCGGCCATGGGTTATCTTATAGACCAAATTATTTAATTAGTTTTATTTATGTTTCTTATTTAGTCTTAAATTAGTTTTGGAAATCTAAGATATTATAATAGTTTTCTTTTTTTTGTTCTAATTGGTTTAGGAAGTCCCTATAGTCTATATAAAGTCATGTAATGCTTCGATTCAATTGAGTTAATATTTTAAAGAATTTTGAGAGTTTTGAAGCCTCTTTTGAATTTGTGTGATGCCTATAGAATCTATGTGCGACGCCTAGACTTATCTTCTTCTCTTCTTTCTAGTTCTTTTTTGTTTCAATTTACTATTCTTGGATTATTATTCACAGCTCTCTAAAAGTGCACTTTTCAACCTCAAAACTCCATCCAATCACCCTCAAACCAACCCTACTCCCATCCCCTACCTATTAGCTTTCAATTTAACCCTTGAAACTCTAAATTACTCATTGTTTAGGCCATGAAATAACTTCTATTTTCAAAATCCAGCAATGTCCCTACTTGTCCTACATTACATACTCTCCTACTTTCTTTGTACATTGTCACTTTCTCCCTCTCTACTTCTTTGAGATGTTCAGATTATATTCCTAACCCAAATGGGAAGCTCTATATTATCTTTTTTTCATCCATTGTCAATCTTAGTAGCATGAGTTTATATCGTCAAGCATATGTTATTTATTTTCATTTTTCTGAAAATCACCCTTCATAGTATAAATTTGTGCCACCCACCCCCAAAAAAAAAATTTATGGCTCCGCCCCTAATCTCTGGTCTATTCATTCTCGTGAAAAATCCGGATATGTTATTTTTAGTTTGTGGGACAATTTACTCTTATGTAGTGTTTGTTGAGCTTTTGCTTTTTTATCCAGCACATACTGTGGATTTCCCCTTGAGATGAGTACTCTACTTACAATTGGTAACTATTATTATTTATTTTTTGTAAAAAAAAAAAAAAAAACTCACAGTCAAACCCAGAAGCAAAACTTAAAAATAAAACGTTAAAAACCTTGTCATCCCATGATCATGTCGCTTGAAACAAGCTCAACCCACGTACTAAGAAAATGAAGTCCAAGGGACAGACAGTTGGTTAGGATAGGATTCACACCCATAAAATGGAGGTCATAGGTTGGATACTCCCAGCTGGGGCATAGAACCCTACAAATTTTTTAATTTATTTTTACAACATTGCTAAATTTTACAAGCTAAGCTTGTATTCCCGGTCCTCTCTCATAAACGGTGCTACCTTATAAAGGGGAATTGTGGATACAACATATAATGGCCACAACCAGGCACATCAGAGCCTACAAGTACAAAAACCAAACCACCAAATAAAGCTAACTTTTGGAGATGAATGGAGAGGCAAAGAAGTATGAAAAACAGTTTTTTAATCATTATCATTAAAACACCCTATTATTTAGAGAATGCATTTAAGCTAATGATTGAAACGAAAACCCAAAAAAAAAAAAAAAAAAAAAAAAAAAAAAAAAAAAAAAATTGAGAAAGGTCTAATATGAAGACAATGGTATTGATTACTGACAACAAAACTATCCTTCGACGAAAAATTTCAAGCCCATAGATCTGAATCAATGCATTACAATACCACTTCATGTCAAAATTACATATATATATATATACACACGCACACACATACAACAAGAGGAAGTCGACATAACCCAACAGCTGAATCGCAAACATACAAGGAGACAACACCGAGTTCAATCAACGGAGAATCACAATAGGATGAGAGAGAGAGAGAGAGAGAGAGAGAGAGAGAGAGAACTTACCGGAAATTGAGAGGGAAGAGGAGGGTAGTGGCCGGTGAAGGGAAACCCTAGAATTGGGGGCTAATTCGGAATTAGGGGAAGACAGAGAGAGCAATTAGCGAATTGAGGGATAAGGGTAGGATGGAAAAAAGGTCCCTCAGAAATTGGGGCTAGGCTTAGACTCACCCATAGTAATAATAATTTCTTTAGGGGCCGTTTTGGAATTTGATGAAAATTGAGAAATTATGGCCTATTTTAGAAGTGGGTTAAAAGTCACCTCCCAACTTTTAACTCACTTCCTCTCTTAAAAAAAAAAAAAAAAAAGCAAAAAGCAAAAAGTAAAAAAAAATCAAAAAATTAACTTTTAACTATTTTCCCAAAACACCTCTTTATTTGATTGCTTCTATTTATTACATCGCTAATTAAAGAATGTGTATGAGATAATCTAAATAAATATATTTTTTGACTTTTTATGAAACGATGTGCAAAAAAGTAAAGAGATGATATGATCCAAAAAAATTATAAAAAAAAATGTGTTAATATATGGGATGTCAAATAGTACGTAACTTTGGGAAATTATTACACATCTTTTATGTGTATATCGGAGTGTTTGGGAAGAGAATTGGACTAATATAACTCACTAAAAGATAAAAAGACAAAAAATAAGATAAAAGTACACATCTAACTCATAATCATTTCACTTTTTCTCTCACAAACAACAAATCAACTACAAAAAAAAATCAACTAACTTTCCAAACACAACTATTTTAGTCAGACTAAAATAGCCAAAAAACCAAATAGCCAACTAAAATAACTAACTTCTCAAACAATGCCATCATACACATTATATATTTTTATGATAAATGTTTATATAATTTTTTAATAAAGTTACGATAATTTGTAATTCTCAAAAATAAAGTTAAATATTTTTATGATAATATTACCTATTTTGTGGATAGAAAATATTTAAATAAAAAAATATAACATTACCATAAAATCTATAATTTTATTTTGAATGTGGTTACTCTATTAAAAAAAAAAGTGGTGTTATTAGCACTCCAATAATTAATTTGGACCCCTTATTTCTTTGGACTCCCATTTATAATTTTTGAAATCCTAAAAATTTCTTTACACCCCCAAAATAATACCAAAATTATCCTTAAGCATTCCACCTAATTGAATGGACACCCCTACACACCCAAAAACAAAAACAAAAAAACCTCTGTTCCAAAAAAACCCTAACAAAACCTCATCCTTTTCAAACCCACGAACAAGAAGAACAAGTGTAACTCTGTGACTCTGGTATGCTCTGTCTCTCTCTATCTCTATTTCTCTCTCTTTCTCTCCCATCTGATTATGGCCAAAAAGATAGATCTCCGGCGTGTTTATCTGTCTCTTCTTTTCTCTCTCTCATGTCTACTGTTGCTATTTTGTGGTTGGTTCTTAGGAAGTTTGAAATCATGTATGTTCTTTCTATTCCTTTGAAATAGTACTATGTTATGTGAATCTAAATTTGTCCTTTGTTTTGCTTAGTTTGTTTTGTTGATTTTGTTCATCTACTAATTACCAGATACTAGATAACATTTATATGGTTTACTTTTGCCAGAAAATTTGATCCTAATATAAACCAAAAAATAAAAATAAGAAAACGACTATTGTTTTTCCATTCCTATATTTATGATTTTATTTGCCTCTTTTTATATTGAAGCCTATATTCTTTATTGTATTTGTTACCTCCATTACCTCACACAAGCTACTTGAGTAGATATCTGGGTTTGCTAACTATACATTAATCTGAAACTTTAAAATAAGTTAAATAAATCTTATACTAGACAAAGATATGCTATAATTTTTGTTGGCTAGATATGAGGAATGACAAATTAATCTTAGTGATTATGATTGGGCACATTGAGTCTTTAGGTGAGATTAAATGTCTCCCTCACACTTTGGTCTGCATTTGAGGTTACAAATGCATAATTTTGAATGGGACTCATTAAATATATAAAGGGACCATCAATGTTGATGGTATGCTATAAGTTTTATGATCTTATGAAATGCTACTATTCAAAATAATTTGTATTATTTGTGTTGATGATACTTTGTTACATGGACTTGGTGTATGTGTGTCACATTCGAGTATATGTCTAACTTCTAAGTGTCAAGTTCATCTAATTCTAATGTCCAATACAGCCAAACTGATAATGATACGGCAGATGTGGGATGAAGAATTATTAAATGTTAGAATCTTTATAAGGTCTTCTAGGAGTCTGACTTAGAAGAAACAATTGTTTTACTATTGAAAGAGAACTACAATAGAGAACTTCATTAATCAATTTGTCTAATTGTATGTACAAAGATTTCATTGTACAGAATTTTGTATCTTATGATTAGGCACATTGAGTCTTTAGGTGAGATTTGTCTCCCTCACACTTTGGTCTGCATTTGAGGTTACAAATGCATAATTTTGAATGGGACTCATTAAATATATAAAGGGACCAACAATGTTGATGGTATGCTATAAGTTTTATGATCTCATGAAATGCTACTATTCCAAATAATTTGTATTATTTGTGTTGATGATACTTTGTTACATGGACTTGGGGTATGTGCGTCACATTCGGGTATATGTCTAACTTCTAAGTGTCAAATTCATCTAATTTTAATGTCAAATACAGCCAGACTAATAATGATACGGCAAATGTGGGATGAAGAATTATTAAATGTTAGAATCTTTATAAGGTTTTTTAGGAGTCTGATTTAGAAGAAACAATTGTTTTACTATTGAAAGAGAACTACAATAGAAAACTTCATTAATCAATTTGTCTAATTGTATGTACAAAGATTTCATTATACAAAATTTTATATCCTAAAACTAAAGGTTTTGCTAAACTAATTAATACTCAACTACTAAACAAGTATAGGACATAGTAAAACTTACAAGCAAACAACCTGACAGAAGTAGATTCAAATGCTCTGAATTTTCCATTCTTAAAATGTCTTTAGCTGGTAAAGAATCATTAATTGGTTCTGAAATGGCCCTTCTTTTTTCTTTTTCTTTTTTTCTTTTCTTTTTTTTTTTAAAAAAAGTTTCCTGATGGATGAATATGCTATATATATTTTTAATGTGAGATTATCACTCAATGACTTCTCTTTCTCAGCTTTTAACACATAATTTGTGGGTCCTATACAGTTGACTCCTTGGTTTGTAAATAATTTATTTGAATTGTAGAGACCAAAAGAAGAAAAAGAATCCTTTGACCTAACTTGCTTTTGATCATATACACAGCTACATAGCATTGCATGAGCACAAACAAGCCAACTTTCTTTTCATCTACAACATGTCTGCTCTTGCATATAATCATATTATTTCTTTTCATTTTTTCCTTCCCTAATAAGTATGTTTTCATTTTTTTTTAATTACTATACCTGTCTTACCTTGTAAGATATTGTCTTCCAAATGATGCAACTAACTTATGGAAGTTAACAATACAACTCGAAAGCGGCAAACGGCATCTTTGAGGCGTAACACAACCCAAGTACCTCAAAATGTAGGTCGGAAACGTCGTGCTCATAATGTTCAGGTTGACGAATTTGATGGTGCTGAACTCATTGTCAATGATATTGGTGGTAATGAAGAGCAAACAAACATTCCTGTCGTTGACCACCACATGGACATTCCTGATGTTGACCATCCCACGGACATGCCTGGTTCAAGTGAAGAGCTTGCTGCATCTTTTCCCGGGGGCCTAATTGATCCTTCTAGTCTAAAAAATTTTAGTTGTCACGTAGTAGCCAAAATTTGGAATAATGAGGTATAACTTACAAACTATTGTCTTGTTTTAATCATTTCAATAAAAAAAAATAAAAAAAAAAATATGAGAGATACATGACACCGTTGTGATATGCAATGATGCAGGAACGAGATTTGTTAAGATGCTTGAACCATGGCTCTAAGGTTGCCGATTGGTCTTTAACATTGGAAGGAGTTGACAACTCTAAATTTGTGGACATTATTAAACATTCAGGATTGTATTCTTTAACTAGTTGCTCATACAAATTTGTGAACAAGGTAGTTGTATCTGCCTTTGTTGAAAGATGGCAACCTGAGACTAATAGTTTCCACATGCCATTTGGTGAGATATCCGTGTCATTAGATAATGTAAGTACTATATTAGGAATTCCTATGACTGGTACATCTGCTTCAACTAATAAGTTATCACGAGATGAAGCTGCAAAGGTATTGGTTAAGTTATTGGGAGTGTTAGAAGATGATGCAGCTTTTGAGTTGAAGGGAGCACGGGACCAATCAGTGCGATTGAAATGGTTACATAAAAAATTTCAGTCAGTTTCAGATGTGGATTCAGATGATTTCATTCATTATGCAGCGAGGGCATATTTATTATTCTTACTAGGTTGTACCTTATTCATTAACAAGACTACAAATCGTGTTCCTGTTGTGTATCTCCAGTTGTTCAAGGAATTGATCCATTCGTATGCTTCGGGTGCAGCTGCATTAGCTTTTTTGTATCAGCAATTAGGTATGGCAACAAAGTCTGCTGTCAGACAAATAGTGGGATACATGACACTATTTGAGGCTTGGATCTACGAACATTTTTTATGTACAAGAACCTATCCAAATTTAAATTATACATAAAAATAGCCTTGGGCTTATTGTTGGATTCCGCGCATACAATCTAGTTCATCGGTTGTTGTGTTAAAGTCATTGCGAAAGCAGCTTGATAGATTGGAGGCTCATAAGGTAAAAAAAGTAATGTGTAATTCCTTTGTGTCATTGATCTTTTATAGAAAACTTATGATTTTGTGTATTCTTTGTAGGTTATTTTTTATCCATATATTGGTAACTGTGAGAACCATCTATTTACTGAAGTTGCTTACTACATTGGATTGCTGAAATACATGGATATTGTTGAACCCTATCATCTAGGTAGGTTTTTGGGACAGTTTGGAAGGGTGCAAAATATTCCCCCGCCTCCACTTGCTCCACTTTCATAAGGATCTACCACTGGCAAGTATTGCCTTTCATACAAATATGTGGATCAGATTACAGACAGGTGGAAAAATCATGTGTTGTCTGAAGTGGTGTGTAGTGAGCTAGTTTTACATCCATAGGATTGCACGCCCAATTACATGGATTGGTATTGTCGCATTTCCCATGTTACTATTCAAAATCCGACACATTGATCTATATACGATCCTCATTCTGAGGCATCAATAGCTGACAATGACTCATAACACATTGCAAAAGCCTTGACTATAGCACGTCCAATAATGCAGTTGGATTACATTGAAGTCATTAGTGCTCCGGAGTCTCTCTACAATGCATTCAAACAAGTGACACAATTATTGGAGGGCCAGCACATAGATGAAGAACAACACTCCCTACTGGAACATCACTCTCCACAGAAACAACACTCTCTATCGGAACAGCAATAATCCATTGAAGAAAGTTTGATTTATCACCTTCGCCTTCCCCTTCGTCCTCACCCTCACTAAACTGACACTGGACACAACTAAAAATTCATGATCATTTGTGGGATACTTTGGATGTTTTGTTATTAGAATGAATGTTTATGTGTATTTTCGTATTAGTATAGATGATTATGGACCATCTTTTTGACTAAGTAATATTATGGATAATTTTGTCATGGTTGCTTTGATGTAAGACAAAAGTTATGTTCGCACCATGATTTTCAGTTAGCAATTTCATTAATGCTTTTGAGTTATATATGTCGTGTTTGATTGTTATGATTGCTTTAATTATTGTTGTTGTGTTTTTATCGTTATGTATACATTATCATTGAGTTTAAGAAATTTTCATATTCAGGCCTGTACTCCCGAACATTACTTATTTGTTCGGGAGTGCGTTATCGAACAAATAAGTAATGTTCGAACCTGTATTCCCGAACATGAAAAAATGCAAACTTCTGCGAGCTTTAAGAATTTTGGCTGTTGAAAGTGTTAAGGAATCTCCATGTTCGGGCCTATACTCTTGAACATTACTTATTTGTTCGGGAACGCATTACTGAACAAATAAGTATTGTCCGGGCCTGTATTCCCGAACATGAAAAAATGCAAACTTCTGCGAACTTTAAGAATTTTAACTGTTGAAAGTGTTAAGAAGTCGATATGTTCGGGCATGTACTCCTGAACATTACTTATCTGTTCGAAAATACGTTACTGAACAAATAAGTAATGTCTGGGCCTGTATTTTCGAACATGAAAAAATGCAAACTTCTGCGAGCTTTAAGAATTTTGATTATTGAAAGTGTTAAGAAGTCGCCATGTTCGGGCCTATACTCCTGAACATTACTTATTTGTTCGGGAATGCGCATTACCGAACAAATAAGAAATGTTCGAGCATGTATTCCCGAACATAAAAAAATTCAAACTTCTGCGAGCTTTAAGAATTTTGACCATTGAAAGTATTAAGAAGTTTCCATGTCCGGGCCTGTATTCCCGAACATTACTTATTTGTTCGGGAATGTATTCCCAAGCAAATAAGTAATGTTTGGGCTTGTATTCCCGAACTTGCATAAATGAAAACTTCTGCAAGCCTTAACAATTTTAACCGTTGAAAGTATTAACAAATTTCCATTTGGTCCAAGTTTAATATTTTTTATTACGAAAGATTAGTAACACCAACCGTTTCATAAATAAGTAAAACTGGAATTCTTGAGATAATAAAAAGCATGTTATAAACATGCATATCTACTTCGCTAGAACTTCATATGTCTACATCTAACTCTATTGTCTCAGTTATCGCTACACTCGATCCTACGAGTGAAGTGAAATACTGCACTCGGGCATTATAAGTTGTCTTTCATCCTGTTACAGCAGGTAAATGGTAACGTCGCCAATTCGTTGCTATAGGTGGCACCAGGTGACCATGCACCAAAAAGACCTACAAATATGAAATAATGGTAAAGTACAATTTATTATTGTATTGCTAATAACGAAAACAAATTTGTTTCAATAAATGGGCCTCATAATGAGTACCTGAACGAAATGGTTATTGTTGACGAACCCGATACATATCTCCTTGCGAGATGCAATCGGCATTGGGATCGTCATAAGAGGGAGAGAAGTGAAGCATTGTTGAGAAGATAAGTGAAATAACACAACATTGTAAAAAGATAATATCGTACGACCCATGTCAAGCATTGTCATCCAATGACTATATCCAGCATTTGATTCAAAATACGCTAAAGTTGTAGTTAACTCATCAACTCTTTCTTGGCCCCCAAATAAACTTTTGTAGTGATCTATATGGGCATGTAATTCTTGTAGTAAATCTTTTCTCACTTGCAACAATCCATCTTCTCCGAATCCCATCAATCCACCAATGGTTCAAAATCCACAATTACCATCAGCATCAACATTCTTCATGAGTTAAATATATGGCCTCAAACTTGAAGGAAATTCATCTACAAAAGACAAATTGATTTTTTTTTTTGTTGACTGATATGGGTATACTTACACACATACAATCCATTGCTAAAGTTAGTTAATACATGCTATTGTACAGGTATAAACATAACTAATCGGTTTGCAGACTCACACCTTTGGTCGCTGCATTGATTTTAATTTCTTTGGACACGTATTTTTCTTCAAACCTACACTTGGTGAATAGTTGTCCTGTGTAGATGAAACAAACTCAAATGCAGAGGGCTCACGATGAGTAGAAGTATCAATCTTCAAAGATGGTCGACCCCATGGGTTAAGCTTCACTTTAGGTTCAATCAAGAATATACTCTCAGATGTATGTATCTCCCTCAACTTTTTTAACATTTGAACCTTCATAGTTCAATCTACCTCTTCGTAACATCGAGGAAACATATCTAACTCTGATTTGCAATCCAAAAATGAATTTGATTTTTTAGGAGTACTAAGCATGTCAAGCTTGGACCAGTGTGGATCTACAGAAGTTAGAGGAATTGGTCGGTTTTCTCTCATATAATCTGCTATTTCATGCGCACATGGTAATCCATGTGTACGCCAAACGGCACAACCACATATAACAATGTCAATGCCAACAAAAGATGCTCGCTTGGACTCTGCCAATATCATTTCCAATGCTACAATAGACACGTTCCCACGAAAGATCTTTAAATTGAGCAGGCTTGAAATTATGTTGCACAACTGTCTTGCTCTTCTTAAACGATGATTTGATGTTAGTGTGTTGCAACTCAAGCAAATTGTGTATCCTTGACCAATTTCACTGAAAACTCCTTTGACTTGATCGAAGATATCTCTTGAGCTTTGCATGTGAACTCTCTACCCTATATATGTAAACCATTACAATGGTAAAATAGGAAAATATACATTTTTTTTGTTTTTGAAAATAATTGAATTTACCTGTCGTTGTTGAATTTCCCAAGTGCATATATATCTGTCCATGCAGCTACAAATCCCTCCTTATATGTATCCAACCAAGAAGATGTGACATATTGAAATGCTTCTACATAAAAGGTGAACTCATTTTGTAGCAATACAAGTCATTGCATGTACACTTCTTCAGAAGATGACATAACCAACATATTCCAACTTGTTATAAATATATCCCTTTTCTTCTTCTTCTCAAACAATTTCTTGCATTTGGCCAACACATTGTTATTAATATGCCATCTACATAACAAACTTGTAGCTTATAGAAATACCGTTGCAATAACATTCATTAGAATCAATTCTCTGTCTGAAACAATAACATTGGGAAGACTATTCTCATCCATCAAACTACGCAAAATACCAAGTGCCCATGCATAATTATCCTCCCTCTTATACTAGAGGTATGCAAAACCCACAGAGAAAGTCTTTTCTATGGATGTTACTCCTACAATCTCTAAAAGTGGCAAACGATATCGATTGGTCTTATATGTACAATCCATTAGTAACACATCTGGGAATGCACGTAGCAAATCCAAACTAACTGGATGTGCAAAGAACAAATCGGTAACAGTCTCAGTATCTTTACAGTTCCTATGTCATTCTATGTATTTGTACACCGCTAACTGACCCAATAGTAATTGCATTTCAGATCTCCCAGCCTCCTCAAAAACTTTATGCTGTTGACGTGCATTGTAGATTGTTTTCATTGTGGAAACAGTTTTACTATTGCGTTGTTTAAGTATGACTAATATCTCACTTAGTCGTACTATACTCTTCGACATATCAACCAATAAAGAAGTTTCCTCATGTGATAACCTCCCAGCATAAGAATGACCTTCAAGACAAACCGCAGTAGGATGATTATGCACACCACATATTACGATCAATGTCCAATCATCGTTTGTATCTAATTTTTTAGCTTTTAACAGAAAAGGACAATCACATTTTTTAGTACCAGTAAGCTTTAATTTTTTTTTCCCCTTAGGTCTAGTGTTTTTCCTAGTGTCCCTATAACATACACTCCTCTCACAAGCAAGAGTTAGTCTTGGTTTCTTACGATGAGCACCACCCACATCTGATTTCTTCACAACAATAACCAAACCATTTCTCCTCCCAACATCATGTGCCCACCGAATTAATTCATCTCGAGACTTGAATATCTAAAATTGTAAAAATAAAGTAATGATTTTGTTTCCAATATACACATAAAGAAATAAATTAATGCACATTAACAATCCATATGTAAAAAATATTCATATATAATTTTCAATACATTCATATATTACCTCGTGAGTCACAAATTCATTACTATAATCTATTATGAATTCTGAGCCAACTTTACTGCTTCTATTTGACTTGCCATCATCCTAAAATAAATAATAATACAAATTAAATTTCAAAATTTGATTGGTAAACAGGTCCGAACCTATGAATAATGTTCGGTTATCGATTTCCGAACAAATAAACAATGTTCGAGCCTGTGTTCCCAAATTTCGGTCAAATGTTCAAGAGTTCAGTCCCAAAAAAATGACGAACAAATTTTATTATTTTTGTCATTTTTTTCAAGAAACTTACCCTTAACATCAAAGCTATGAATCTCCTCTGAGCTTTTATTGCCGTACTCCTCTCGTTTTATGGAGTTGTAGTTGCCTGAAAAGCTTCCACTCATTGTTATTGCCGGAGGAGTGTAGGTAATCAAATGGTTGCCACCATTAACGCCGGAATATTGCTGCCAAAGGGTTTTCAAGGTTTTGAGAGTAGGTAAGTTTTGAAGGTGGGATTTGGGGAAGATGAATGAGTGGTGATGGAGATGGGTGTTCACATAAACCTTAATTTATGATATAGTAGGTGTGTAGGTTTAATTGTAAGATGGGGTGTCGCAAAATTAATGATATCTTTTTTAGTAATTTCATTTAAGGTTATTATTATAATAAATAAAAAAAACTAAAAATTGAGGGATCTAACATAATTCATGGGGTGCTAATAGCACCACTCTAAAAAAATTATGTAATATTTATACAAAAATACATACACCACAGCATGACCTTTTAACTTATTACACTTCTTATTTTATTTGTTTTATTACAATAATTTCTCTTGCCATATTTTCTTGGGAAAATTGTAAATATGTGTAATAGTGGAGAAATTATTGCATTTGAGATGGGCTTGTTTGTAGTGCAATCCTGACACATAGTAACGAATTTTGCTATATACACAGTAAAATTACACCACAATAAGTATAAACAATTTTTTACTATCCCACTAATTTGATATTTCCCCTATTTTCTTTTTCTTTCCTTTATGAACTACAATTTGCCGCCAGTATTATCTTCCACTATCAACCACCACTTTTTCTCCTTCACTAACCATAGGGCTCGTTTGGGATTTTGGTTATTTTATTATTTTTTTGACTGTTTTAACTTGTCTAAAAAAATTGTGTTTCGAATAATAGTTGCTTTTACTTTTATTTTTTTGTGATAGTTAATTTGATAATTGTGAGAGAAAAAATGAAATAATTATGATTTGAATTTGACATTTTATCTTATTAATTAATTTAGTCTATTATCTTTATTAACTATTTCAGCAAAAAAGCCACCAACCCAACTTCCCAAACACCCCCAACAACTCTTTTCCCCCTCTCTCACTCTCACCAATACTTAGTACCTCTCAACACTTCTATTACAAGAACAAAACAAAACAAAAAAATAGCACGACAAATAACAAGAAAAAAAAAAATATAATAAATCAAATTAAAACATACATGATCATTATAAATACATTTTATACAAAATTTTAGTGTTTAAAAGATGTTTGAGCGTGAATAGTAAGATTTATTTTATTTGGCATAATATATATTTATATAATATATGGATAAATTACATTGATACCCCTTGGAGTTTGGTCCAATTACTATCCACCCCTTGACGTTTTAAAAATTACATTCCCACCCCTGTGGTTAATAGTTTCATTCCACAAACCTCCTTACTTATATAAAAAGTAACAACTCTTAGTAGAAAAACAGAGGAAATTACATTAAAAAAAAAAAAGTAAAGGAAAGGGGAAAAAAAAGAGAAAGTAAAGAAAAGCAAAAAAAGAGAGAGTGCATTCAATGTCTTCATTCCGTCTAAATAATTACAATGATAGGAGGGTTAGTGTAATTTCCCAAACGTCAGGGAGTGATATGTATTAAGCCAAAACCTCAGGGGATGTAAGTGTAATTTACCTTATATATATATACATATAAAAATACACATAATGTTTAAAAACAAATAAATATCTATATAACTAAACTGTATAAATGTATACATATAAAATTACGTATATCAATATAATTAGTTGATCCCTCTTTTGATTTTGCTTAAACAATACCATTTCATGCATTATGCAAACAAACTGAATAACTTGAATCACAATTGAATCGTAAGATTCACTCAATTTTAGATGCAATTACATAAATCAAATCGTTTTGCTTGAAACTCATACCTAATTATATGAATCAAATAATGAATCGTAAACTTCTACAACCGTGTCTATTACCATTTCATTATGTATGCAACCCGTATTTGTACATGCATGCATGGCACATGCATTAAGGCAAAAATGTGAGTGCGCACATTAGTTGTGAGTGCACACATTAGTTGTGTGTGTGCACAATGGTTGTGTGTGCACATATCCAAGCGTGACAGAGTTATTTTTTAGTTACTCAATCTTCCTGCATTTCTGGTGGAAGGTGGAAGAGAAAGCGATGGGAGTTGTCCTAACTTGCCTTCTACGCCTCTCAGTGCCTATATAAGCACCATCTCCCCCTCTCTTTGAGGGGGTTAAGAAATTGAGAGTTTTGAGTGATTTTTAGAGCAAAATTCCACCATTCTCTCTCCCTTGTGCCATGACTCCGAAAATACCACCCCTTTATAGCAACCTCAACTTCTGAATATCCTTTAAGGCTT